CGAAGACATTGTTCTTCAGGACCGCCTTTCCGATGTAGAGGCCGCCCTTCCCGTGGTACAACTTGAACTCCTGGGTGGTACTATCGGCTTCCAGATGTATGCCTTTCGCCATCAACTGACTGACGCTCAGTAAGTTGTAGCCAAGTCCTTCTGCTATTAGGACTTTGGACATTTGCAGTATGACATTCGTCTCTCGTGACTGAAGTTGCACTACTCCTTGTCGTCGTGTGCGCAGGTTCTGATTATTGGCGACAGTGATGACGACTTCTCGTTGAAGTTGGTGCTCGCGTTGAACGAAACGTCCTGAAGAGCACATATGTTGTCCGCAGCAACTGTCCAAGAACCATGTATCCTTCCCGGACGGCTCGCTTTGAGCGATGGTGGCGTACGTCGGGTTCGGTTGAAGTGACTCGCGGCGAGGCGTGCTGTTGTCGAGTTGTTCTTCTGGTGAGTAATATGGTGGTGACTCAGTTACGCAGGAGTCACTCAGCCTTGCCATGCAGCTGACGACGTTTCTTGTTCCTTTCGCAGGTTGTCCCGTCGATGTTGTTGAGACTTGTACTGAAGTTGTCGGATTTGCTTGCGTTGAGGCGACTTGACTGCTTGAAGGGCGAAGTTGGCGTTGCGGCGACGTTGACTGTTGTCTATTCGGGCAGTGCGTACGAGGATGCCCTGAAGTCTTGCAGAGGTGGCAGAACGGAGGTACGATTTTCGGTCGATTGTTGTTGTTGTTGTGGCGCCGTTGAGTGTGAAATGCGAATTCGGGCACTGATACCTTTCTCTTGTGTCGTTCTTCTTGCAGGTCCATGTCTTGCTGCTCGGCGTGGATTTCGGCGCAAAGTGCTGCTTCAGAAATTTTCCCGTGGGCTCGTAGTATGGCGCGAGTGGAGCGCCAGTGAGGACCAAGACCGCCGATGACAACCGTGACGAAGGCGTCCTCTGAAATCGATCCTCCACATCGAAGAAGCTTGTCGCGCAGCTCGCGGCAGCGACTGATATACGCCATTCCCTTCTCGCCTGGTTTCATTTCGATTGTTGTCAGCTGCGCCATTAACCGACTTTGGTTTACGCTGTCTGTTGCTTGATACAGGTTCTTCAAGTGATTGTACGCGAGCTCCGCGGAGTTGCCGTAGCCTCGGTAAGACCGTATGTTTTGTTGTTGAGTTGGAGTGATGTTCCTCAGTAGTATCGTGTACGCCATCATCGATTGATAGGTGTACTGTTGCTTCTCATACTGTGTGCCGTTTGTTGGGTATGGCAGGGACCCGTCGAAGAAGCCAAGGATTTGCGCTCCTTCCATCATCAGCTCGAATTCAAACGACCAGGTAAAGAAATCCTTCCCGTCGAAGGGTTTTGTCGTTTGCAGTTTTAGAACGTGCGCGAACTGCGACTGAACTTGTAGTGCGTCCAGCGTTCTCTCTTGTCCCGGTGCAGGTTGTGGTTGTGGCATGAAGCTGACGGACCCGCGCTGGGGCTCGTACGGAGCGAAGGTAGGTTGCTGTTGTTGATTCCCGCATGCGTAGGATGAGCCATCGAGACTCATGGGCGTCACGTTGTTGTTGTTGTTGCTGTTGTTTGATTGCGCAGGTGCTCCTTGCTGATGCTGCTCGTAGAAGGACATGAAGGAGAAGAACTTCTCCATCATGCTTGGATCGAAGCCCGCGCCTTGGTTTGCGGGTGTTTCAGTAGACCCAGCTGCCGGTCTCGTTGTTGTGCCTTCCTCTGTCTGTAGGCCAGAGGCAGGAGGTGGAGAAGGAGTAGTACCAGGAGAGCCGTTGGAGGAGCTCCTCTCCTTTCTGGTAGACATGTCTCTTGGTGTATTAGGTGTTAAGGAGAAATAATTTTAACCCTAACCAGCTCTCATACCATGTTGGGCTGAGTGCCCCTTAGGATCTTTGGTAGGGTTAAACTCTGGGTAGAGTGATGTAGTAGCGGAAGCGTTTAAATGAAGTCCTTGAACCACCTTGCGCTGGTATGTGAGGGCAAAGTAAGTTGATTAAAACAAGCAAGTACAAAGGTTTATATAAGAGTACAAAGAATACGAAGAGATATAATTAAACTGTTTTACTGTTGCGGTTCGATACAGTGCGACTCGGGCAACTGCTCAATGTCGAGTCAGTTGTGTGTCCTTGCTATCGCGCTGCATTTGTCAAGTCAAAGGTCTCTGACCTTTGACTTTCACGTTAACCTCCAGCGGTTACTTCAACCTCCGAGGGTTGACTCGCTGGTGCCTCGATATGCTCTGCTTCGCTTGTGCCTTGGTGTTTCGACACGACAGAGGCGCTTTAAGATTGTTTGTTCCCAACAAATTTCAGGGATGTACACGCACTTTCGTAAGGAGGACCTCCTTAAGGGGGGGGGGTAGTGTAAGGAAAATCTCTTTTTCCTTACATCGCGTCCCTGCTCAACGCGTACATCACTGTAGCACCACAGTCAGCACCGTTACCACTCGCATCGACAATCCGCCCGCCGCCTTCGCACGTCGCACCCCGACCTCACGGCTCGGCGGGTAACCCGCGCTCCGGGCCTCCGCTTCGACACTTTTCCCAACCTCAGTCCCAGGCCCGTCGCGCGACAACCACAGTCCATTACCGTTACCACTGTAGTTTCGCTATATATTCTTCGCTCATACCTTCGCTCATTGTACTCTTGCTTCGATAGTGCAATTGTCGTTCGTTCACTCAATTGCACTCGTAACATGTGCAAACGTGCAATCGGGTTAGCTGCGAGTAACCAAGATGTCAAGCCGCTCGCTTTCGCCAATTCGTGGTGTTTCACCAAATGAATGGGGAAGACTTTATAAAGTCGGTGCGTGTGGTCCCTCTCGGCGCCACGTCAACCCATGTCCACGCATTCTCTGTTGTGCACGATGCGCCAGTTGCTTGCGAGAGTTGCAGTGCTCTCTTTCCGTTTCGGTCAAACCCAGCAATTTCTGGATTACCCGACACAACATAACGAGGTTTCGGCTCTTAAACCTACGCTTGGCACGGCCTCTTGGTACCAACCCTGTAGGCTGACGTTTAGAGAATTCAGAGAGTGAATGGTGTCTAGCAGAGACACGTGGGGCACAACATCTGGTCAGTTCCTTGATCACGAACCAGAATGGAAGATCTTAGCATCCACCCGTTTTCAGCAGTGAGGTCTTACAACGTACTGGGTTTCCTGAAAACAACAGATGTTGAAAGGAACCACCACTGCCCCAGCGTCACCGACCCAGGCAATTCCTTGTACCACGGAACAGAGCTTGCAATGCGGTTTGAAAGCGTTTCACTTTTGAAACATGCAGGGATGGTTGCAGAGGTATGGTGGTTCTATTCATTACGAGGTGTTGCGACCCAAAGAGGTCGGGTCGACCACCCCCGATCCCTCATTTCTAGGAAGGCTGTTTTGCGGAAAAAGCCGACCAGTTCGACCCAACCGAATTGGGTCGGGTCTACCCAGCCGGGCTGACCAGGTTGGGTCGACCAGGTCGACCCAACCCATCCCAACCGGTTTGCGACGAGTTACTTGAGATAACGATTTGTAATATCTCGCACAGGTCTCGTTTTACAGTTGCGTACCAATTGAAAATCCAGCGATTAAAGGGTTTTACGTAACCACTGGTTCGTCACAGCTCGCCTAACCTGCAAGGAAGCTGGATGCCAATTGCGCTGGAGGTGCTTCGACGGTGTGCCAAAATTTCTCAGAAATTCTTTGCGGTTCCGAGCCGCGATGGTCAGGTCGACCTGGTCGACCTGACCCAACCCAATCTTGTTGGGTCACAACACGTAGTATACAGTTCTGAAAAATTTAGTGTGTCAGCCCGTTATTTGTCAACAGTCAGGTGTTCAACGAGAGTTGCGACCCATTCAGCACTCCTAAACGGAAATGGACTGAAATGCTGCCTGCTATTTCGTGGGTTGCAGATTAGGTACCGTTTGAGATGAGCATCATTGTGACTCGTTCAAGATTGAACACGCCTGAAATGTCTTCGGTAGGGTTTCCGCCACCTCGTTCTTGCCACAGGAGCAAAGCGAAGGGGAACCTTGCGCATCGCCGCAAGTCCAAAGCCGCACTCACAACGAACAGAGAAGAACCTCGCGAAACACAACCATCACCGGCCACCCTTCGCGCATATCCACACCCCCAGTCATCCGCAGTCCCACCGCTTTTAGCCGGCCGAAACGCGGAAGCCCCCGAAGGGGGGACCCGCCTTTGAGAGCCCAACTCCCCTTCTCCCCCCTCCACCAGACCTAAGGGGACCCCTCCTCCTTCCTTCACCTTTGTACTGTACATCAAGTGCGAGCATCCAATTGGCAACGTGGGAGCAGGAGGAGAGGTACAGTTCCGCTCTCTGCTCCGCGCTGGTCTACTCTCCGCACTGCACAGCACTCCTTGGCGCTGTTCCGCGCTGCTCCGCTCCGTCCCACGCTGCTCTGCTCCATTCCTGCTGGTTTGGTGGCATTCACGACGAACGACAAAGCGGCATTTCTCTCGCCTCCCTCAACCGACCATGCTGCTCGGCTCTGCTCTGCTTGCTATGCAGCTCTACCTATTCCCCCACTCGCCCCCCTTCAGCCTGGTTTCGTTTGGTTAGGTTGGACTTCCCTCCCTGCCGCATCTGCTGCACTTGGTCCCTTGCTCCCCACATACCGATGGTGGTCCAGTATGCGTGTGGGACGATTGCCGTCCGGTTTGTGTTGTCCCCCCATTTCCGTGACTCTCTTGGTCCATCTCAATAATTATGCGCACGTTGTTCTCTTGCGACTCTTGGTTTTATTTTTGTTACGGAGTAATGCCGGCCTCGTAGGTCAATGCTACTAGCTAGGGCTAGCGGCCTTGGTCATCACTACACAAGCGCATTCATTAATTATCTTTCGCGAAGCTCTATTCAACGCCACCCAAATGAGCGACAGAAGCGCGTGCATAGCGCCGCTTAAAGCGCACGCGCAGCCTACTTAGGAAGTTCAAACTCCACCGAGCCCGTCCGCGCTGCCCTTGCTGCTGTCGCCGCGCCCCACATGACGAGGGATAGCGGTCTTAGCAGCACCAGCAGGCCGGGACCCGCGGGTAGCGGCAGCAACGTCGTCATGCCGCCCTCCTGGACGACTATGGAGTTTGGCGCTCCAGGCTCTCTCCTATACCGCCTCCTATTCCTCGACAAGCAATATCGCGCCTTTTCCCCCTGGCACGAAATTCCCCTTCACGCCGCGCTTCCCCCTTCCGCCTGCCCCTCCCCTCCGCCCGCACACGGGGAGCCGGGCCTATCCGCCCTGTCCTTTTTCTGCGTTACCCCGCGCGGAACGTGGGCAAAGTTCGAAATTGCCCAGGATGAGAACTTCACGCCGGTTCGGGTGGCGGAGCGGCAGCCAAGCGGGGGCCCCGCAAGATACGCGGAAAATTGCCAATGGAACCTGGGCGTGTTACCGCAGACTTGGGGCGATCCGAGGGCGCCCAACGAAGAGTACGGAGGTCTGCCGTACGACGGAAAGCCAGTGCAAGTGTTCGACGTGAGCGGCTCGCGCGGCGCCGCGAGAGTCGGGGACGTGTACGTGGTGAAGCCGCTCGCCGCGTTTGCCGCCGTGAGTCGCGCGCCCGCGGTTTCGTGGAAGGTGGTGGCCGTGGCCGTTGACGACCCGCTGGCTCTGGAGCTGCATGACGTGGCGGACGTACATCGGAAGCTTCCAGGAACGCTCGAGGAGATTCGCGAGTGGTTGCGGTTATCGGACTGCATGGAACCAGGTGAGAGATTAATAAAACATGATTTAAAGAGGTAAGGCAGGCTCATCGCGGTTGGAGCTGCCGATTCTAGTCTTCCTTTTTTCAAGCATCTGGTTAAATCGGTGCCTTTTGCTGCGAAAAGCGAAACAGACGAACGCGAAGTTTGACGACTTTCGCTACTTCCGCTAGCCGAGTAGGCACCCATCGCGCGTCGAAACAGGGCCAATGTCGATTAGGATGTCTCGACCGGTGTCAGTCGGGCAGATGCTGCCTATAAAAGGCATCCTTGTAAGGAGAGCCGCGGAGAGCGCCGGAGAGCAGCGGAGTGACGCGGAGAGCTGCGGAGAGTTGCGGAAAGCCGTGGAGAGCTGCGGGGAAAGGAGTCATAGTTGCGTGAGCGCGTGCAACCCTTTCTGTCCCGTCCGTTCCGTCGCTGATTTCGCGGGCCTGTTTGAAGCCCTACTGCATGTATTTGCCCGTCGCCCGTTGCCCGTCTCCCGTCTCCCGTCACCCGTCGCCCGTCGGCCCGTCGCCCGTTGTCCCGCTCTCTTTCTCCTCCTTTACCTCCGCCGTTACTCACGATAACTCTTGGGTAGTCTGTAATGTTTTCCGGCGCCGTCCGTCGACCGCGCTGTTGCCGTTATAGTTGACTCAATTTTCGTTTTTACGCTCGTGGACTGTAAGGTATAGCTTAGTAGTGCTTAGCCTGAGTCAACATCTCCACAGTAACGCCCTGCATTAGTGTCGCGCAACCATCGTGACTAGCCCTAGAAGCGCCTGGCGTTTGGTCTGCGCGCCGAGTGTCGCTCTCTTTCGATCCCTCTCACCCCCTGCTTCCACCCTCTACACTCCCCCACCCATCCATCCCACTCCCCCCTCCCACCACCCCCTTCCCCCTCCTTCTCCTCCCTCCTCTCCCAACCCCCCCCCTCCTCCTCCTCCTCCTCCTCCTCCTCCTCTCTCTCTCTCTCTCTCTCTCTCTCTCTCTCTCTCTCTCTCTCTCTCTCTCTCTCTCTCTCTCTCTCTCTCTCTCCCTCTTTCTTTCTCTTTCGCTCGCGTTGTACTCTCTCCTAGCACCGCAAGCCGACCGCGTCTTGTGCATGCCGCCGTGCCGTCCCCGCGAGTCTAGGGGTTCCGAGGCGTCTCAAACTTGTTTTTTTTTTTTCCCTTTTATTTGAGCCTTAACAGCGTCCTTTCCCGCGAGTCGCTATTTATTGTTCAATTGATGCGAAAAATCGAGTCTTCTCTGGGATCGCGGAACCTATTTGAACCTTTTCATTCGCCTTCTCTATTTCTCGCCATCGTCATTAGAGGCGTTGTTGTCGTCACCTTTTACATGTCATGGTGCTTTTTTGCGTTGTGATTATCACACAGACGCTACCGTCTTGGTCGTCGCCGCCTCGGCTCCGTAACTTAATTCCTTCCTAATCTCCTCTCCCTTACTTGGCACTTTCTTCCCCTCATCCTCTTTTGATGATATCATTAATTATTTACCTTCCCGTATCGCCCTGGTTCCGCTATCCGTTTACTACCGAGCTCGTTTGCTCGATAAAAGTCGAGCGCGCTCGTGTGCCGTAGTGTTCCATTCGTGGCGTCACCCTTGTTTCAATCAATCGCGTGCTTCGGCCCGGTCGTTCCGCAGCGACTATTGCTGTCCCTTGCTCGCTCCGCCTGCGTTCCGGCTGCGCTCCGTGCTCAGTCCGATCTCAGTCGACTATCAGTCGATTCTTAGTCCGCCTCTGATAAAGTTCCGCGCGTTCCGTCAGCTCAGTGCGTACACGACACCGCATCGTGTCCGTATCGCCTGTGAGGAACGCGCAGTTCCTCGTTACTGGAAAGCAGGTCGCGGCGGCAGCCCGCAGCCGCTTTCCGTCCTCTCCGGTTTTCCATTGTCCTCTCCTCCGTTGGCCAATGTGTGCTGTAACGTCGGTTTCGCGGGAACATCGCATCTAAAAAAAAAAAAAAAAAGCGCATAGCGTATTTTCTGACGTCAACGGAATCATAATAACGAGCAGAGAAAACCGGCTAGTAAGACGCAGTAAACAGCTGATGTGCATAAGAATGAACATGACGTGGCAGTGCCTGCCTGTAACTTGGTTACGAGACGTCGATTTCTGACGCGTCTGGTTAAACACCCGATGCGCCTCAACATGTTGCACGTTGCGCGGCTGCTGCGCACGCTTACACTCTTCGCCTCTCCTCGCCCTCCACGCAGTTCGCGCTATCCCATCCCTCTTCCCCCTTCTCTCCCCCTCTCTCCCCCTCTCTTCCCCCTCCCCCTCCCTTTTTCTTTTGACATTTTTTGTTATCCGCGCTTTCCGCGCGCACCCTCCGCGTTCTCCCCAATGTCGTACATGAGCTTTCCCTGTTTTCCTTAGCTGGATTTTCGATTAGAAAGAACATTTTCCGTTTTTTTTTTCTCTGTGCTGTAAGCTACGCAAGCTAAGTATTGGCTAGCCGGTGACAGTGCCTCGAGAATGTGATCACTGTAACGAGAAACGCGTGTGCCCGTCCCTCTCAATGTGGTGCCCTTCCCCCCAGCACTCCCCATCCCTTTCCCACCATTTAACACCCCCTCCACCCCTCCCCCCCTCCACAACCCCTCCCTCCCCCCCCTTCCCCCACCCCCAAATCCCGTTCCATTTTACCTCCGTCCCCTGTACGCGCCCTCCTCTCTGCCCCTCCCCTTCCTGCTCTCTCCGCGCCGAGCACTTCAATTTATCCTGTCACCTCTGCTCACTCCCCACCTCCCCACCCTCCCGCCTCCCCTCCCCCCTCCGCGCCCCCCGCGCCCGTCCCCTTCCGTTTTCCCTTTTTCCCCCTCCCGGCCTTTCCCCCCTCGCCTCTTCCCCGCGCCCCCGTCACGCCGCGCCGCTCTAGGCGCCGAAGGCGTCGCGTTCGGCTTCAACGAGCGCGCATTGGACCGCAGGCGCGTGCAAGCGCTGCTCAAGGAGTGCCACGTGGCGTGGCAGCGCATGCACGCCACGCTCCCCATGCCCGAGCCGTGGATCCCGCGCTCGCGCCCGCCCAAAATCTCCACTATCGAAGCCTTCTGGGTGCCTTATACCGAGCGCCACAGCAACTCGGGGAAAGGCGCGCTCACTATCCCCCTTTCGGACCCCAACCCGCGGAGCTACGGCGGGAGCAGTAGCGGGGGGGTCGGAGGGGGAGGGAGAGGCGCGGAGGAGGAGGAAGAAGCGGGGGAAAGAGCAGGCGCGGGCGCGGGAGCGGGAGGGCAGTCGGTATGGGAGGTAATGTCAGGTCTAGAAGCGATGCAGATGCTAACTAAGCTCCGCGCGCGCAAGCACCTGTCGCGCCCCGCGTTCTACCAAATGAAAGGGACCATCCCCGGAGGCCCCGGGATCGCCCTGGGCGGCGCTGCGGGCAGCAGGGGGTCCGGACGCGCGGGGGGGAAGGAGCACGGGGGCGGGAGCAAGGGGAGACGGGGCAGTGCGGCTGGGGGGACCGGGGGAGTTGGGGCGGGGGCGGTAGCAGGGGTGGGAGCAGTTGGGGGAGCGGGGGCAGGAGCGGGTGCGGGAGGGGGAGCGGGTGCGGGAGGAGGAGCAGGAGTCGGGCCAGGCGGAGTGGGGGAGGAGGATGGGCATGGCAAGTCCAAGTTTAGGTGGGGGAAAGCGGCCAAGGACGTGAAAGCATGCACTGTGCCTGCTGTCTCTACTGGCTCGCCTAGGGCCTCCTGGTCCCCTGCCACTGAAGCAGCATCACCAGCAGCAGTAGGAACACCACCAGCACCAGCAGCAGCGGTGGCGGCAGCGGCGGTGGGGGCAGCGGCAGCAGGGATAGGGGGAGGCAGTCTGGGGAGAACAAGTGCGGGTCAATTCCCTGCTGCGACTCAGCCTAGAGTACCATCCATTGGGGATCCCTCTCCTCTCTCTGCCTCTGCCTCTGCTCCTGCTGCCACGCCTTCCCCTCTTTCTATACCCGCTCCTGCCCCCGTTGCCTCCCCGCCTCCACTTGCCGTCGCTTCTGCTCCTCCTGCTCCTGTTCCCGCCCCTGCCGCCACCGCCCCCGCTGCTACTGCTGCTGCTACTGCCGCCGGAGCTGCTGGTGTTGCTGCAGCGGCTGAGCCTGCTCCTACTCCTGTAGAAGCGTCCGTTCTTGCTCCTGCCTCCGCTGCCACTGCAGTGGCCGCTCCCGCTCGTTCCACCTCTGCCACTGCTGCTTCAGCCCCAGCGCCAACAACAGCAGCCGCAGCAGCAGCAGCAGCAGCAGCAGCAGCTGTAGCAGTGCCACCACCACAAATAGCAGCACCAGCACCAGCAGCTGCACCAGTAGCAACAGCACCAGCAGCGCCGGTGCCTGCACGCGCGGCAGTGCTGGCAGCAGCAGCAGCCGCAGCAGCAGCCATGGGTGCAGGAACGATAGTGGTGGGGGGGCCTGGAGCCGGTTCTTCCAGAGGGGGAGCAGCAGCAGCAGCAACAGCAACAACAATCGCAGCAGCAGAGGGAGGAGCGTCAAGAGAGCAGCACTCTAGGGTTGGTGCCGCTGCAGCAGCAGGGACAGAGGACGGACGAGGAGGAAAAGGAGGAGGAGCGGGAGGAGGGAAATCGGGGCTGGTAGCAGCGGGCGTGTCGGCAGCGTCTGCGAGGAGACGAGCAGCGCTGGTGAAGGAGAAGGCGAGGTTGGATGAGCTGCAGCAGCAGCAGCAGCAAGGTGGGGCAGAGGGCGAAGGAGTAGGAGCACTGGCCACACCTGCTGCTGCTGCTGCTGGTGGCAGCGGCGGTCCGGGGGGTGATGCAGTTGTGGGAGGTGCAGAGGCAGGAGCAGAGATAGGAGCAGCGGGGGAGGCAGCAGCAGGATTAGGGCAGAGGGTGTCGGAAAAGGCCGCTGTTGTTTCTACAGAAGCATCAGCAGCAAGTGCGGTGGCAGCAGCTGCAGATGGTTTGGGCTCCGGCACTCCTGCAACTTCCGCTGCTGTTGCTGCTCCTGCTGCTCCAGCAGTCGCTGCTACTGCAACTGCTGCTGCCGCTGCTGCTGGCGCGGGTGCGACAGCAGGCGTAGGGGCAGGGAGCACCAGGAAAAGCTTGTCTGTGCGGAAGGGCAAGGGGAAGGGCACGGACGCTATCAAGAGTAAGACGGGTATGCAGGAGCAAGGGAAGCAGAGCACGGAGAAGGCGAAGGGCCTGGCTGCAGCACAGGAGGCAGGAGCAGGAGCAGTGGGATCGGTGGGAGCAGGAGCGGTAGGAGCAGGAGGAGGAGTAGATGCGAGTGTGCGTGCTAACGGGCAAGACGTAGCTGTGGCTTCTGCTGATGCTGGTGCCGCTGCTGCCGCTGAACCGGTTGCCGCTGCCGCTGGTACGGGTGCTGCTGCTGCTGCTGCCGCTGCTGCCGCTGCTGCTGCCGTGGCTGCCGTGACTGCTGCGGCGGCTGTAGCTGCAGTTCCTGCTGGGGATGCAAAGGCGAAGGAGGGCGGCAAGGTGAAGCGCGGCCTGTCTGCAAGAAAACCCAAGGGGCAGCAGCAGGAGAAGGCGAAGAAGGGCCAGACTAGTGTGGTGCCCGTGCTGCCAAGCGAAACTGCAAAGGATCTTTCAGTTGCGAAGGTTCCCTCCTCAGGCGATGCTGCTGGTGCGATGGTGGCTGCTGGGGTGGGGGACGAGCGGAGTGACGGAGTGGTGAAGGGCGGGGATGATGGGTTGAGCGCGGTTTCTTGGGGCAACGGGGGAGGTGGGGGAGATGGTGGAGTGGAAGGCCGAGGAGGTGAGCAGCAAAGGACAGGAGCGGTCAAGGAGGCTTTGCTGCTGGAGCAGCAGCAGCAGCAGCAGGAGCAGGAGCAGGAGCAGGAGCAGGAGCAGGAGCAGGCGCAGGAGCAGAAGCAGCAGCTTTTGAAGCGGTTCAGTCCGGCGCCTCTGGATGTGCAGGGGCATGACGATGTGTATGATGCGGAACCGAATGCTGCTGCTCACCCGCAAGAGCTACAGCAGCAGCAGGCACAGGAGGAGGAGCAGCAGCAACAGCACCAACGGCAGCAGCAGCAGCAGCAGCAACCGCACGTGTACGCGCCTCCTCTCACGCCCCAGCCGCTCACGCCTCTGCCCGTGTCCACAGCCCCTGCGCTGCTCTCCCCCCTGCGGCAGCAGCAGCAGCAGCGGTGGCAAGCAGTGGAAGAACGGCCGCCGGAGCGAGTAATTATAGAAGACCACCAGGAGGTTCTAGGCCTGGGGGAAAGGGAAGGTGGGGAGGAGGATGAGGAGGATGAGGAGGAGGAGAGGGAGAGGGGGAGAGAGGGTTGGGAGGAGAGGGACGAGGGGAAGCAGGGTGGGGTGTCAGGGGGAGGGGACTGGAGAGATGGGGATGATGATGATGGTGGGATGAGGCAGGGAAGGGTCGGGGAGAACGGAGGGGAGGAGGCAGCAGGGGGGGCGGCCGAGTGTGAGAGTGAGCAATCAGGAAGGGAAGAGATAGGTGACGATGAGGGAGAGGAGGAGGAGAGGGAGGGGGAGAGGGAGGGGGAGGGGGAGGGGGAGAGGGAGGGGGAGGGGGAGGGGGAGGGAGAGAGGGAGGGGGAGGCAGCAGAAGGAAAGTCAGGCGAGTTGGGAACAGATGGAGGAGAGAGGAAGGAGCAAGGGCAGGATGCTCTTGTAATAGTGGCAGATTCTAAAGCAGGGAAAGGGGGCGGAGGCGGAAGCGGAGGCGGGTCAGCGCCGTCGCCTAGAGCTCTAGAGCTGCTGGCAGGGCTGAAGAAGCTGGTAAGTCCGCGGCATAGCCAGTCTGGAAGACGTGTGAGAGGGTTCGGACGGTCAGGCAGCTCTGGTGGGAGCGAGGGTGAAGTTACTGCTGCTTCTCCTGCTGCCGCTGCCGCCACCGTTGCTGCTACTGCTGGTGCTGGTGCTGGTGCTGCTGCTGCTGCTGCTGCTGCTGCTGCTGCTGCTGCTGCTGGTCTTGCTGCGACAGGGGCAGAAGAAGGGGCGAGTGAAGCAGCAGGAGGCATGGATGGGGGCGTGTGGAGAGATGGGCCGGAAGGAGGGTTGCAGCAGGTGAGAGAGGGATTGGAGGAGGAAGGGGAAGGGGAAGGGGAAGAGGAGGAAGGGGATGGACCTGCAGGGGGGCTGCTAGAAGGGATGCTGGCTGGGAAGGGTGTGTTGCTAATGGGTCGCCGATCTAAGCAGCAACAGCAACAGCAGCAACAGCAGGGTGTGCGTTATGAATGGGAGGTGGAGAGAGGTATGGGTGGTGAGGAAGAGGTGGGTGGGGAGAGGGAAGGAAGTGAAGAGGAAGCGGAGCTAGAGACGGGACGAGAAGAGGTGGAAGAGGAAGAAGCAGGAGGGGAAGGGGAGGAGGAGGAGGAGGAGGAAGAAGAGGAGGCGGAGGAGGAAGAGGGAGAGATAACTGAAGTGGAGGTGAGGGAAGAGGAGAGTAATGGCGGTTTGGTGAGTGGTGGTGGGGAGGAGAGAGAAGAAGCAGAGCGGTTGGAAGGGGGGTTAAATCAAGGAAGCGATGCGGAAGGTGCAGAGAATGAAGAGGAAGAGGAGGGAGAAGAGGAGGAGGAGGGTGAGGAAGTGGAGGGAGATGAGGAGCAAGAGGAAGAAGAGGAGAGGGTAGAGGAGGAAGAGGAGGACTTGTATTCTGATACGGCAGAGGGTGAGGGGGGTGTTAAGGAGGAGAGCGTGAGGAGTAGTGGAAGGAGGGAGCTTGAAGAAGAAAATCAGAGAGAAGGGGCGATTGAAGAGTGTGAGGAGGAGGGAGAGGACGAGGGAGAGGAGGGAGAAGAGGGAGAGGAAGAGGTAGAGGAGGATGAAGAGGAGGAGGGAGAGGAAGGAGATGAGGATGGGGTAGAAGGGGAGGTGGCGTTGGTGGAGGTAAGAGAGAGGGGAAATGAAGAGGAAAGGGAGAGGGAGAGAGAGAGGGAGCGGGAGAGGGAGAGGGAAAGGGAGAGGGAGGTGAACACACGAGGACTACGTGAGAAGGAGGGTAGGGGAAGGGGCTACGAGGAGGAAGGAAGGGGAAGCATGGATAGGGGTAGCGGTAGAGAGGACGAGAGGGGCAGAGGGACGGGAAGAGAGAAGGCGATGGGTGGTGACAGAGTCAGGGACGGGGAGAGAGAGAGGGATAGAGAGAGAGAGAGGGATAGAGAGAGAGAGAGGGAGAGGGATAGAGATAGAGAGAGGGAGAGGGATAGAGATAGGGAGAGGGAGAGGGAGAGGGAAGTGGATCGTGCAAGACGGAGTGGGAGGGAGGATAATGGAGAACGGGGGAGTGATAGGGATAGAGACGGTGAGCGAGAGAGAGGCCGCGACTATGGATCAAGGGAGTATGGGGAGAGAGATGCTAGGGAGCGAGAATTAAGGGAGCGAGAATTGAGGGAGCGAGATTCGAGAGGAATGGGTTTCAGAGAAAGGGAGTGGAAGGGCGAGAGTGAGAGGGGTCGGGATGAGTATATGGAGAGGAGTAGGGAGAGGGAGAGGGATAGAGAGAGGGACAGAGACGGAGAGAGGGACAGGGATCGAGACGTGGAGTATGAGAGGGAGAGAGAGAGGGAACGGGAGCGGGAGAGGAATAGAAGCAGAGAGGGGCCGTTGCACAGTAGGGGTAGGTCTCCCGCTGGTAGGGCACCCAGACCTGAAGGCTATGGCCCCGGGGGCGAGCGGCGAGGGGATGAGAGGCGAGGGGAGGAGAGGAGAGGGGCAGGGGGTTATGATGGGGAGCGTGGGGGAAGCAGCAGTGGGTATGAGAGGGAGTATGGAGGGGGCAGAGGGGGAGGGGGAGGGGGAGGGTTCTCATTTGATCGGAGCAACTCATATGATCCAGAGAAGGAGCCGGAGAGGGAAAGGGAGAGGGAGAGGGAGAGGGGCGGTCCTGCACAGTACGATAGGGATAGGGCTGGAGGGCCGTATGACCGCGATAGGGAGAGGCAGAGAGAAAGAGAGAGGGAGAGGGAAAGAGGCGGTCCAGGTTCAATGTACGACCACCAGCCTGTCACTCCTCCTCCGCCTGCCGACCACTCGCTGCCTCAGCAGCAGCAGCAGAGGCAGCAGCAGCCGCATTCGGCAAACTGGGATAGGGAGAGTGAAAGGGATTACCGGCATGGGCCGGGGGGAGGAGGGGGGCCAGCAGGAGGAGGGTACGATGGAGGGATAGAGTACCGTCGGACTAACACGGGTCACAGTGAGAAGGACTTTGAGACAGGCGCAGGGGCGTATGGAGCGGCGGGAGGGTATGGCCCTATGGGTGCTGCTGCTGGCCCTGGCGGTGCGGGTATGGGAGGGATGGGAGCGGCTGGGCCGGGGGGAGCAGCAGGAGCAGGAGCAGGGGGAGCAATGTATGGGTCTGCTGCATACAGGAGGCGGTTTGGCATGGAAGGGGGAGGGTATGGCGGCGGGGATGTGGGCGGGGAGCGGAGGCGGCCGGAGAATTTCGAGTCGGAGGAGATGGAGCTGCAGAAGCAGCTGTCGGGGCAACGGGCGGACCGACGCCGCATGGTGAGTGCTGGGGGGGAGAAAGGGGGAGAGAAGATAGGGAGGGGGAAGGGGCGGGTTTTGAGACGTGTCAAAATGAACTTCATATCATGTGAGTCGGACGAGATGGAGCTGCAGAAGCAGCTGTCGGGGCAGAGAGCGGACCGACGCCGCATGGTTAGTGCAAAGGGGGGAAAGAACGGGGGGAGAAGGGGAGGGGAGAGTGTAAGGGGGAGAGTTGGGGGTTGAGGGAGTGGGGGACGGAGAAAGTTGGGGTGGGAGGGGAGTGGATGCAACATGAACGTCTAACGAATTTCTGATTTAACCAAATTAATTTCTATTCTCAACCCACGTGACTTGATATTTCTACCGGAAAATAAAATAAAAGAAAGAAAGAAAAGAAGGAAAAAAAATCTTAAGCGAAGTTTTCCTTTTCTATAGTTGCCTTTTCAGTGGCGTTTACTTGTGAAACCGAGTCACTTTAGAACGTGATTTTAGTGAATGTGTAGGTCGGGCCAAGCCAGGCCGGCCAAACAGGTTTGGTCGGGCCGAGGTGGGTAAAGCTTCCTTGCAGTCCTGACCCGCCTCCCCTTCCCCACTCCCTCCCTCCCATTTCCCCTCCCTCCCACCCTTCCCCCTTCCCTCCCTCCCTCCCTCCCGTTCCCCTCCCTCCCTCCCAGCTTCCCTCCCTCCCGCCTCTCCGTTCCTGTTCCATCACGTGCCAATTGCCTCTTCTGCCCTCCTCCCTGCCCATCCTCCTCATCTCCCATCCACCCTCTCTTCCCCTCATATATACACACACTTTCTTATTTCCCTTTCCCACGTCTCCCCCTCTTCCCGCCTCCTTCCGCTCTCCCTTCAACAGGAGGCGATGAGGAAGCAGCAGATGCAGGGGCAGCAGGGCAGAGGAGGAGTACCAGCGGGTTGGGCCAAGCCCAAATGGTCCGATAAAGACGCTGCAAACCCCCATGCTGCTGCTGCCACCACCGCCGCCGCCGCCGCTGGTGGTGCTGCTGCTGGCGGTGCGTTTGGAGCCTATGCCATGTTTGGAAACTTTGCCGGAGCACCCCCGGGTGCGGCCGGTGCAGCAGCAGGAGGAGCGGGTGGGCCGGCTGGTAACCCTATGGGTGCAGGAGCAGCGGCAGGAGGTAACCCGATGGTCCCTCCTGCGTTCATTCCCATGGGTCCTCTCGGGCCGATGATTCCTGTAGCACCCATGGGGGGGATGCCCATGGCTGGGTATGGCCCTGGGGGGATGATGCCTGGGCAGATGATGCCTGGGGGAGGGATGCCTGGTCGCATGCAGGGCATGCAGGGAATGCAGGGCATGCAAGGGATGCAAGGAATGCCCGGGGGCATGCCTGGTAGGCCAGGAATGCAGGGAATGTCGGGAATGGCCTATGGTGCCCCTCCCGGCTCTGCTGGTGGTGCTGCTGGGGGGTCGTTGCTGTCGCAGCGAGCAGCAGCAGAGGAGCTTCGATCGGAGATCACGGAGCAACGCTCGCTCTACTCGCAGCGCCTCTCTGTCGCTCTCACACGGCGGGCCAGCCTCGGGTCGTATGAGAATGATGGGTCGGGGGGGACGCATACGGGCGATGCCGTTGATCGGGAGAATCTGCACCGTACGTTTTCCGGGTATGGGGGGTATGGGGGGGGTGTGCCCCCGGCTATGGTTAGGGGGACTCCGCCTAGGTATGGCATGGGGGGGCGGAGGCTGGGTGGGGGACCGGGGGGAGGGGGCGGAGGGGTGGGGTATGCTGCTAGTGTGGGGGGAGGTTATGCTGGTAGTGTGGGGGGGTATGGGGAAGGCGGAGCGGGTTCGCTGAGCCGAATGAGCTCAGGTGATTGGTCTGATTTGCAGGACACACAGAGCGATATTGGGTATGGGGGGGGTGGTGGGAGGGGCGGAGGGTACGGAGGGAGGGAGAGGGAAGGCGGGGGGTACTACGGGGGAGGAGCAGGAGGGGGGGGAGGAGGGGGGCCGGGGTCAGTCGGAGGCAGTCCCAGAATGTCTGGTATGTCAGACAGGCATGGGGATAGGAGGCACCCCGAGGGTGTAGCAGAGGAAGTGGGAGGAGCAGGAGGAGGGGGCGGGGGCGGGGGAGGGCATGGAGGGATGGAGAGGGGAGGGGCGGGCCCACACTCGCACCACATGTACGGGCACCAGGATCGGGTGGGAGGGAGCTATCAGGAGAGAGGTGCGTATGGGCGAAGCCCGTCTCTGGGACCCAGAGGTGGGGGCGGCAGCGGCAGCAGCGGCAGCGGGTACGGGCCTGCAGGGACTGGAGGGGGAGGGGGCGGGGGAGGGGGAGGAGGGAGGGGAGAGCATTACCGGCGGGGGAGGAGCTCGGAGGAGGAAGAGGAGTATTTGGAGAAGCACAGGGGCATGGAGGGAGTGGGAGGAGGGGGAGGGGGAGGGGGAGAGTGGGTGGAGTCACCTGGGGGAAGCACCACAGGGTCAGTGCACAGTCACCAGATACGGGAGGGAGTGAGAGAGGACTATGGCGCGGATGGCAGCGGCAGGCACAGGGGGGGGGGCTATGGCGGCATGGCAGGCGGGGGCGGGGGCGGCGGAGGGGGCGGAGGAGGAGGGGGGTACGCACCTCTAGGGCCGAGGGAGCTGCAGAGGCGGGCCAGTGACTCACCTCACGGGCTGGCAGCGGTGGGTGTGGGAGGCGGGGGAGGGGGAGCAGCAGCAGGGGAGGACGCACGGTCGCTGCGCAGGCAGACAGGGGGGAGCTGCGTCAACATTGGCACGTCTTCCTCTGCTGCGTATTCCATGGCTCCCACGCTTCTCCCCTCTGGAGTTGGCCCTGGTGTTCCCCTAGAGGACGGGTTTGTTGATGGGGTGGGCGGAGGGGGTGGTTGGGGAGGAGGCAGGGGCGGGGACGGGGGAGGGCGGGGGGGCAGCACCAGCCTTGCGAGTGGGCCGAGTGGGGAGAGGGGTGGGGGAGGAGGGGGGCTGAGGACGCAGCTAAGTGGGGTGTCATCGGTGGGGGAGGGAGAGGGGGGGGCAGAGCGGACGATTGCCAAGGGGAGGCTGATGCGGCAGCTGCTGGCAGCCGAGCCGGAAAGGCGAGGAGGAGTAGGCGGGAGAGGAGGGAGAGGAGGCGGAGGGGGGAGGCCGGGGAGTAGTAGCAGCTCTAGCAGTGTGCAGGCGTCTAAGTAAGGTGGGGAAGGGAGGGGAGTGAGAGAGACGGCAAGGGAAAGTGAGGAAGGGAGAGTTTGCGGATAAGCAGCATGAGCATGAGCGTGAGCATCAGCTTTAGCGTCAGTGCAACAAGGGAGTTGACGTCACGCAAGCTTGGGCATTAGCTCAATGAGCTTTGAAGGTTGATTGAAACCCACCAATGGGTGCTGCAGCAGCAGCAGCAGCATCAACAACACCATGAGTGGAAAGGTTACCCTACCAGCACCTTGGTCGGGCCTGTACCCGCCATCTATGAGCAAGTGTCGTGGAAAGGGAGTTGGAGCTGTGGAGGTCACATGGAGGCATCAGTCTGGGAAGATACTCTCAGCTGGGTTGTATAACCCTGGTGTGTTTGCCAGGTAATGCTTTATATCTGGTGAAAGAGGTTCAGTGCAAAGTCTGGTGAGTACTTGTTTGTGTTTTCTGGTTAGGAGGAAACATCTCTTTGTAGTCGCCGTGTTTGTAGAGCTTGGTAGAAACTTCATGCAGGGTGTGGCGGAAGGAGAGAGTGCCTTGCTTGTGAGAGCCTTTTTCGTTCTCGACTTACCGTTTTGGCTGTCCCTTCTCTAGAGGGTTTTTTTTTATGAGGTACCGGTGGGTGAATCATATGGTTGTGAGTAGTTCTTGTGGTTACATATGTAGAGGTTCGATTTGTTGGGGAGCCATTTGGAAGTTGTAGAGTAGTTTTTATTTAAATATATAGTAATATTTCTTGCAGCGCTGGTTGTTCGACCTTTTTGTGTGTGCAAAATTGTGTTTCTGGTTTATCAATCGTGGTTGGGTTTCGCTGCTGTTTGCGCTTCTGCCGACTTTTGCTGATGCCGTGTTTCTCGTCTGTAATTTTCGTGTGGAGTGCAGTGCGGGAAGAGGCTGACTGTACGGATCAGCTTCTGGATGCTGTCCACGCGTCAGTTTATGGTGGATAGGATGCGCCGCCATTTTTTGTTGCTGATTTCCTCCGCAACACTCGCATTCGGAGGCAGGTTTCCCGAAGGGAACAAACCAGCGCTCTTGGCGTTTAAAAAAAAAAAAAAAACCCAGTTCAAGGTCCACGTGTGCTGAGTAGAACGGAGTTTTGAACCACCAAAACACTTCCACTACACCCTCTTTCTCGCCATTGTGTATTCGGCTATAATGAAGTGAAGATGGGAAAAGCACGGTTAACGGTGGTTAAATTATGTTTTCATATAGTTCAATTAGGCAAATCGAAGATAACAAGGTTTTCCACCTGTTCGGCACAGTTCAGGTGTAGCGAGAAACAGGGTGTACATAAATATGAAGTCTGATCAGTTGACATTTGCAGCATCAGAACCCGGTTCACCCTGGTTTAAGGTTTTATTGAGGTCGTAACCTCCGGCTTACCCTAGTGACATCAGCGTGCAGTGTCCGTCCATGACAGCTCTCCAGCATTCCTAGCTGGCAGGGCACCCAATTTGACGTGTCGCAGCTGGAAGGTGTGTACACGACCTTGCTACTTTCTTAAAAAACACCCATTCTGAACACGGTATATGGAGCCAACCTGAATTTCATACTTTTATACGAAACTAGGCGGAAAGTCGGATTAACCAGGTTCTGGATAATTCAGGTTATCCGACTCTGGACCAACCTATTTTAATTTGTGGGCTCCAGTATCATTTGTCCCTAAACCTGAATCTCTCATGCATGTGTCTTCCACATCACGGCGAATCACTTAAGCTGCCTGGTTGTGACAAGGTGAAACTGGAATCAGGCTAATGCTATAGAACTATTTTAACAAAATGGCTAAACAACATAATTTACCCCAGCCAGCTACGACATGTATGCATGCCCATGTAATACATCTACACTCTAAAATAATGTACTCCAGCATTCTGCTCCCATCTCGTGAAAGACCCAGGGGAACCCTGCTCCCAAGAAGTCAACTTCTCTCCCTCGTTCTTCTTGACTGCTGGCTTGGCTGCTCTCTGGTTCCTGCTGTCTGAAGGTCTGCTGCGGTGTTGCCTTTTGGAAGTGATGGGATGGGATGGGTTGGATGTACTGCCAATCGCATTCGCCTTGCCTTTCAGTCCTCCACAACCATATCTTCTGCGTTCACCTGGTGGAAAAGAGGCTAATTTTTGCAACTGCTCGCCTCGCCTCGTTGCGAACGACAACCCATTTTCCCGTGTTTTTCCAAACTTGTTCAAACTTGCCTTTTCTTTTATCTAGCTTCTCGTCTTCTCTTTGCTTGCCAAATTCGTCGGTAACAATGCCGCCACCTTGCCGTGTAGCTCAAACACCGCGTCGTATACTTGCTCGCCGTCAAGTGCGGACCAGTCGGTCAGCGTCAGGCATACTTTAGCAGCCGCCAACAATCATACCATATCCCTAGGGTGCACCTACCGTAACCCTAAAGCCGCCAAAATGGGTCGGCAAGGCGACGCGGCGCGAGGCGGTTCGGAGACCGTGTTTCTCGCGGGCGACGATGATGAGGAGGAGCGGATCGTGGAATTCGACCCTACCGGCCGTTACGGACGCGTACGTGCTGTTACTCACTGCCAGTCTGTCACTGTCAGCCTGTCACCTTTTAAGCCACCTCGGAAGTAGACACTAGCCGTTACGGACCCGTACGTGCTCTCTGATTCTCCCAGCCTCACACCTGCTTCGAGACGAGCGACGGTCGTAGTACGATCTCGCTTACTCCATCCCCACTAGCTTCGCATGATAATTTCCGCCTCCGTACCTAGGCCGTGGATTTTGAAAAAATCAACGTTTTTTTTTTCCCAACTGGACGCCTTTCGAGCCGCAGCCTCATACCCTCCTGGCATTCACCCACCTCGCAAGTTCCCTGACTAGTCAACCCTCCTCATCCTCGTTCCTTTCACGACCCTACCTCCTCGCCGGACTAGGTCTCGCGCGGAATTACTCGAGCCTCATCGAGTTCAGTTACGAGCGGAACGATTAGGTCTTGTTAGCCAAGTCTTGTTCCGTCGATCAGCCAGGTCGTGTTCCGTCCAAGAGAAACGCGTGCGTCTCAAGTTCCACTCACTGGAGTTAATTTATGTCTCGCCCGTTTCCTCCTCTTGCTCCCTCCACCATCGTCGTCTCTTGGTGTCATTCCCCCGCCAATTCCCTCTTACTGTTTCCGTCGCGACTTTCGCGGCAAATCAAAACTCGCCTCTCTCTTTTGCCAAACCGTCATGCAAATACCTCTCGTCACGCTCCCTCCGCATTGTCGTCCTGTCGCACTCGCGCGGCGCGGAACTTGCTCAGCCCGCCGCTCTTCCTTCGAACTCCCGTTCTTTGTGGCTTGACTGTTGAGGCGCCGCAAGATTCGATTTGATCCTCTTCGTCTCTCGTGAATGGATATCTCGGGGTTCGGTTGACTGCTTGCGAGCGTAGCAGCAACGGCGCTGCTGTCTCGGGGTTCGGTTGACTGCTGTCTGAATCCTTTTGTGATTCCACTGCATCAAACCGCGTCGCATCCCATATCATCGCATCAATGCAAGCCCGCTGCTCATTTCTAATGTGTCGTCTCATCACCCACCAACCCCCCCTTCCTCCCCACCCCCTCACCCTCCTCCCCATGGCAGTTCGACTTGGTGTTAGGCAAAGGAGCCTTCAAGACCGTGTGAGCCATCTCCTTCCATCCCCTTCTCCCTTCAATCATTCCCTCTGCATTTCCTCTCTCCCTCTCCCTTCCCTCTCCCCCCCCCCCCCTCCCTTCCTTTCTCCCTTTATCATGGCACTCCCTGCTCTCCCTGCTCCCTCCGCTTTCTCTGTTCTCCTCGTTCCTTCTCATGTCCTGCCCACGTCCACCCTCCCCATTCCATCTATTCACTCCCAACCCCCACCCCCATCCCATCCCGCCCACACTCCAATTCCCTCCCCGTCCCTCCTTCCCTTCGCCCCCCCCTTCCCAACCAACCCTCCCCACCCCGTCCTCCCTCGCCCCGTCCTCCTCTCTTCCCGTCTCTCTTCCCACCTCCACTCCTTCCCTCGCCACTCACTCACTCACTCGCTCATGCCCTCGCTTCGTGTTCTGCCGCCCCGCCCCGCACTCGCGCTCAAAGCTTCCTCGCCCTGTCTTGAAGCTTCCTTTCTCCAACCTATGTACCCCCGCCGCCCGCCCCTTTCCCAGCGAATCACGCTCACAGCCCTCTCTTTCTTCCCCTCCCCTTTCTTCACCCCCCCTCCCCCCTCTCCCCTCTCGTCTCCCCCCTCCCTCTCCTCCCCCCCTCCCTCTCCTTCCCCCCCACCACCCTCCCGGCTACTGCCACCCACCACCATTGCTCTGCCTGCCTTCCCTTTTCCTTCCCGCATGCTCTTATCCCCGTTATAACCATCCCAGATACAAGGCGTTTGACGAGGTGGACGGGATAGAGGTGGCGTGGAACCAGGTGAAGGTGCGGGACGTGTTCCAGTCCAATGAGGATCTCGAGAGACTCTATAGCGAGGTGCATCTGCTCAAGACCCTTCGCCATAAGAACATCATCAAGTTTTATAACTCCTGGGTGGATGCCAAGACCAAGAACGTCAATTTCATCACAGAGGTTTTCACCTCTGGCACGCTTAGACAGTAAGTGTTTATCCGGCACACTTAATTGCAGCGCAGCTACATTTGTGTTCTTTCTTACCTACATGTATCCTCCATGTGTTTTCTCTTTCGTCGTCTGAAGCCGTCTGGTACGCGCTTTTTCCCCTGCTTTCTCTCGTATTTTCCATTCCCGTTCGCTCCTCCCTCCCCTCACCCACCCCCCACCCCGCATCCCCCACCGCTCTACCGTCCCACCGCACTGACTCTCTGCCTTCCCATGGTTTCCTTCCTGCTATCCCGCTTGGCTTCGTGCTACCCATCATTTAGTTTATTGCAAGGCAAGCGAGATAGGCACTGCGTCCGTGCTGCTGTGGTTCGCTGCATTGCACTTCCGCTTCGAACCACCCCTATCTCCTCCTCTCCCCTCCCTTCTCCCCTACCTCTCCTCCTCCTTCCTCTCCCCTTCCACCCCCGCTCCTTTTCCCCTCCACTCCCCGTCTTCTTCGCCCTCTTCCCCTCCTCCCCCCCCCCCCCCCTCCCTCACACAACGCCCACCCCACCCCTTCCCCCACCGCCCCCTCTTCCCAGGTACCGCAAGCGGCACAAGCAGTGCGATGTGCGGGCGGTGAAGAGCTGGGCGCGGCAGATCCTGCGCGGGCTGCTGTACCTGCACTCGCACGACCCGCCCATCATCCACCGCGACCTCAAGTGCGACAACATCTTTGTCAACGGGCACCAGGGCGAGGTCAAGATCGGGGACCTGGGGCTCGCGGCTATTCTCCACCAGAGGGACGCTGCGCACAGTGTGATTGGTGAGTTGCAGGGAGGTGGGGGGATGGGACGGGACGGGAGGGGATGGGGTGGGTGTGAAGGGACCTCAAGTGCGACAACATCTTTGTCAACGGGCACCAGGGCGAGGTCAAGATCGGCGACCTGGGGCTGGCCGCCATCCTGCACCAGCGCGACGCTGCGCATAGTGTGATCGGTGAGGGGTGGTGGGGGTGGGGAAGGTTGGGAGGGCCGCGAGCGGAAAGGGAGGGGAGGGGAGGGGAGGGGAGGGGAGGGGAGGGGAGGGGAGGGGAGGGGTGGGGATGTGTGACGTGACTGTGACGGACCCCGTGTCTCACCAGGACGTGCATTGCAACCGAGCTCCAGGGTGGGCGGCTATGGCAGCAGCAGTTAGTAAGGTGAAGAAATACGCGCGTCGGAACGCGTAGGTGCGCTTCCATGCCCTAGCAGTCGAGGCTTACGGCTAACCCCCGCCGGGGGTGATGGATGGCTTACCTGCGGTGCGGCAGTGCGCGGAGCTAGCGGCTAAGCTGCGCTTCAACGCAGCACCCACCTCATACGAGGCTGCCAAGTTGCTGACGGAATACCGCCAGCGCTGGAGCGTGTGCCTCCAACGAGCACAGGCCAATGCCCTCCGCTCCAAGACCAATGAGGCCCTGGCTGCGGACGAGCTAGGCATGCAGGGGCCCTTAGCCCCCCTTAGCGAGGGGCAGTTGCACCAGCTGATCGAGCCCCTGTTCGACCACTAGGTTCGGACAGAAGGGGGCGGGTGTGGCTAATTTGTACGTCTGGTTCCCATCCCACCCTCGCCCTCCCTCGCACTGCAAACCAACCGCATTCCCACCGTCCATGTCGCATCACCCGTGCCTCTACCTTCTACCGAGCAACCCTTACCGTCTCATTCCCCCACTCCCTTTCCCCTCCCCGCGCACGCCGGAGTTCATGGCGCCGCAGCCGTACGAGTATCTGCCTGCCAGTCCAGTCCCCGCTGCTGCTGCCCACCGTATCGTTGACTCCGCACCACTTTTCCCTCTGGCTCCCTCTCCCCTGCTGCTCTCCTCTGGCACGCCCGAGTCATGGCGCCAGAGCTGTACAAGGAGGAGACCAACGAGCTGGTGGACATATACGCGTTCAACCTGCTGCCATTCCATTCCCCCTGACCCCCATGCTAAAATTGACTTGACGCCACTTTCCCTTGCCACTGGTCTCCCCATTCACCCCTCCCCCCACACACCAGGCACGCCGGAGTTCACGGCGCTGGAGCTGTACGAGGAGGAGAGCAACGAGCCGGTGGACATATACGCGTTCCACGTGCTGCCAGTCCCTCGGCGCCTCAACCTACTGTTATTGACTTGACTTGACACCGCGTTCCCCTGGCTCCCCCTCCCCTGCTGCTCTCCTCAGGCACCCCTGAGTTCATGGCGCCAGAGCTGTACGAGGAGGAGTACAACGAGTTGGTGGACATATACGCGTTCGGCATGTGCGTGCTGGAGATGGTGACGCTGGAGTACCCCTACAGCGAGTGCACCAACGCCGCACAGGTCTACAAGAAGGTCACTTCGGTGAGTGCTGCTGCTGCTGCTGCTGCTGCTGCTGCTGTTGCAAGAAGCCTTTGGCGCTGCAGCGAGTGAAAGACACAGCTCTGCGCGAGTTCATAGAGCTCTGCCTCGCCTCTGCCTCTCGCGGCTGACCAGCCTTCTAACACGCCTCAAAGTCCCCTTCCCCCTCGTCCCTCCCCTTCTCCCCTCCCTCCTCTCCCCCACCCCCCTCTCCCCTCGCCCCTCTTCACAGGGCAAGAAGCCTCTGGCGCTGCAGCGAGTGAAGGACACAGCACTGCGCGAGTTCATAGAGCTCTGCCTCGCCTCTGCCTCTCGCCGCCCACCAGCTCGAGAGCTTCTCAACCACCCTTTCCTCGTGGAACCCCACCGGCCCTCCTCTGGCCTTGCCTATGCCTCCTCCTCCTCCTCCTCCGCTGTTTCTTCTCCCACTCTCGCTGCCACGGCGCCGCCGGTGGTGCCTGTGCCGTCCGTGCTGCCCCCTGCAACAGCAGCGGAAGCAGCAGCAAGCATTCGCAGCAGTGGCAGCACGATTAGCAGCAGCAGTGGGAGTGGTGCTGTGACGACTGCTGCCTTGCATCCGTCTCTCTCTGCTCCGACTTTGCCGCTAGGAGGAGGAGCACACGTGGCAGTGCAGGGGAGCGCTGGAACGGGGAAGGAACGAACAGGGGGGAAGGAGAGGGTTGGGGGGAGGGAAGGGGGAAGGGAAGCGGGAAGGGTACGCCAATCGCCCATGAAGTCCCCTCGAAAGGGAAAAGGATCGGTTGGATTTGCAGACAGGATTCCTGGTTCGTCTCCCTCCTTTTCTGCTGCTGCTGCTGCTGCTGCTGCTGCTTCTGCTGGTTCTTCTGCTGCTACTGCTGCTGGTGGTTCTTCTGCTGCTGCTGGTTCTTCTGGTGCCAGGGGCACTGGGGCGCTTGAAGCAACAGCGCATCATTCACCGTTACGCCGCAGCAGCAGCAGCAGCAGTAGCAGCCGGAGCATGAATGGAATGAGGCAGGAGAATGCAAACACAAACACAAACACAAACACAAACACAAACACAAACACAAACACAAACACAAACACGAAGACGAGCATGAACATGAATGTAAGTACGAGTGTCACACAGGGGCACAGGCGCAAGGGCAGCGGGGGGGCAGTGTCCGAGCTGGGATGGGGAGGGGTGGCGGATAATGCAGGGAGAACTGCAACGGGGAGGATAGAGCACGGGGCGATGATGAGTGAACGGGGGTATGACAGTGCAGGAGGAGGGTGGGAGCAGAGCAGCGGCAGGCGCCTTAAGCCGTCCCAAAACGTGGCTTCTATTGCTCGGTATACTGGAGGAGGTGGTGGTGAGGAGGAGAGAGGCAGCAGGAGCAGCAGAGGCTGGAGGGAAGGCGAGCAGGCGGAGGTGAGGGGTGAAGAGGGATGGAGAGAGATGAGTGGGGCGAGGGCTGTGGGGGGTGGTGGAGAATGGGGGGGATGGGGCAGCGGCCCACAGGGGTCTGGAGAAGGTTACTGGAATGCAGGTAGTGCGATTGGAAATGGGTTCTGGGGCGTCGGGAGCAGCAGCAACGGTGATCATGGGATTGGATATGGCAATGACATTGGCAGTGGCAGTGGCAGTGGCAATGGCAGTGGCAGGTTGTGGCAGGGTGGCGACCGGAACGGGCCTGAATTCCAATGGGCACATACGTCAGAGCAAGAATTGGGCATGGGTATGGGCCAAAGCATGGAAGGGCGGATGGGGATGGGAGGAGCAAGCATGAGGACAAGAAGGGACAGGGGGGTGGATATGGGCATGGGCACGCGCATGGGCATGAGTGGGAGTGTGAGCATGAGCCAGTTGCCAGGTGACACGACAAGGCATGACCAGGGGTATACATGGGAGATGGGGGAGAGGGGACGCATGGGCATGGGCATGGGTATGGGGATTGGCGCGGGGGTTGGCAAGGGGATTGGCAAAGGGATGAGCATGGGCATGGGTGCGGGCAAGGATAGGAGTGCGATGATGGGCGTGGGTGTGGGCAAGGGGATGGGTGTGGGGAAGGGCGGGAGGGACGTGGGTGGTGGCATGGATTGGAAGTATGCAGGACACACGCAGGATTCCCGTCCCGCTATGCTCCTCCATTCCAAATCGCTGAACATGAATTATGAGCACGAGTATTCGTATGAGGATGAGGATGGGAATGGGAATGAGGATGAGGATGAGTATGAGGATGGGGATGGGAATGGGAATGAGGATGAGGATGGGGATGATAGAGCTAAGCCTCTCTCCCGCCCTAACGCGCTATCCAATTCACAGCCCGACGCGCACATACCAGCACATAGTGCGGCGATTTCTGATGCGCCTGAAACCTCGCGCTCCCGCGTGTATATCCCGGCCCATGGCGAGCAGGAGAAGCAGGGCAGGAGCAGTGGGAAGCGTGTACCTGGCACTACCAGCAGTCATGCACAGCGCAGCAATCAGGGTAATGAGGGCAGTGGGGTGAATGAGGTGAATGGAGTGAATGGGGTGAGTGGGGCCAGTGGGGGCAGTGAGAGAAGTGGTAACCTTGTGAGGCGGAGAGATGCTACTGATCCCTCTGCTCGTGACTTGGTACCCTTCTCAGGTCGCGCTGCTGCCAGTGCTGCTGCTGCCAGTGCTGCTGCTGGCAGTGCTGCTGGTGCTGCTGATGTGATGCAATTGGTCGAGAGGGGATTGCAAGCGGGTGGGAAAATTGGGGTTTCTGCATGGGGTAGGTGGGATGATTCAGCTGAAGAGAGGGGCGGGAAGATAGTGGGGGGGCATGAATCGCTAGGGTATACAATTCATGGGCAGCAGCAGCAGCAGGTGGAGGGGCAGCAAGAGGAGGGGAAGCAAGAGGAGGGGCAGCAAGAGGAGGGGAAGCAAGAGGAGGGGCAGCAAGAGGAGGGGAAGCAAGAGGAGGGGAACGGCGAGGGTGTGTGCACGCAGCAGCAGCTCCTCGACCCTGCCTGCGTGTGCCTGCGCCTGAGAGTGGCGGATGGCAAAGGTGAGTCAGTGTCAGTGTCAGTTAATCCATTCACATTGCCGTGTCGTCGCCTCTGTGGAATCTGATAGTTTTCTTCTTGAGCATTCTCGCTGTGGTTGCAACATGTGTTTTGCTCTCCATTTGATGTTTGAGAGAATGCTTAAATTGATACAACCATTCGAGGATTTTTATTGGATGCTTCCTCCCTCCCTCTCTGCCCTCCTCTGCTGTCTTCTTCCCGATCCCCCTCCCACATCCCCTTCCCATCCGCCCATCTCCCCCCTTCCCCCCTTCCTCCCAACACCCCCCATCCCACCTCCCGCACAGGTCGCTCGCAGGTCATCCAGTTCCCCTACAGCGTCGCCTCCGACTCGCCCTCCAGTGTGGCGCATGAGATGGTGGAGGCCTTCTCTCTGCCCTCCTCTGCCGTCCATGCCATCTCCTCCTCCATTCACCACCAGCTGCTCGCTCTCCTGCCCTCTGCCGCGCTTGCTATTGCGGCTTCTGCTGCTGCTGCTGGGGAGGGCGGTGCTGCTGGAGTTGACCTTTCGCCGGCTGGTGATGGTGATGGTGATGGTGATGGTGATGGTGATGGTGATGGTGATGGTGATGGTGGTGGTGGTGGTGGTGGTGATGGTGATGGTGATGGTGATGGTGATGGTGATGGTGATGGTGATGGTGATGGTGATGGTGATGGTGATGGTGATGGTGATGGTGATGGCGATGGTGCTGGTGATGGTGCTGGTGCTGGTGATGGTGCTGGTGATGGTGATGGTGCTGATGCTGCTTTTGGTGGTGGGCCCTCACCACATGCTGCAGCGGTGGCAGCTGTTGCTGGCAGTGCTGACGCTGCTGCTGACGCTGCTGCTGATGCTGCTGCTGCTGCTGCTGCTGATGCTGCTGCTGATGCTGCTGCTGATGCTGCTGCTGCTGCTGATGCTGCTGCTGCTGCTGATGCTGCTGCTGCTGATGCTGCTGCTGCTGCTGATGCTGCTGCTGCTGATGCTGCTGCTGCTGCTGATGCTGCTGCTGCTGTATCCGCCCCTGCCACCCGTAAACCTCTCACCAGCCTGTCTCTCCCTTGCTCTACTGTCACCACGCATGCGTCTTCTCATTCGAGTACCGCTAGCGTCTCACTGGCGGAAGCGACTGCTACCACTGCTACCGCCTGCCTTCCTGTTGATGCTTCTGCCACCACCACCCCTGCTGCTGCTGCCTCAATCACTGCTGCAGCCACAACAGCAGCCGCAACATATGGAGCAGGGGCAGGAGCAGGGGCAGGAGCAGGGGCAGGAGCAGGGGCAGGAGCAGCAAGAGCCCTTGTTCTCTCTCTTGCCTCTCCCACATCGACTTCTGCAGCAGCAGTAGCAGCAGGAAGTGGGGACTCCTCGCTCCCTCCAGACTCTCCCTTCACACTCGCGCCCGCTTCCTTCCCCCCTCCTCTCATCCTCCCTCCGCCTCTCTCCACAGCCTCTTCTAACGCCACTAGCACCTTTGCCTCTGCCCTCGCCTCTCCCCACTCGCCCATGTGTCATCCAAACGACACCTGCGTCTGTAGCAGCAGCAGCGATACAGCGGTGATTGCCTGTGCCACGTCTCCCGGGATAGACAGGGACAGTGGGGCTTTCGAGGGATCGGGGGGCGTGCGTGAGGGAGAGGGAATGGGAAGGCACGTGAATGGTGACACTGAGGGTGGTTGGGCAGGTGCGGAGGACAGAGGGAAGGAAAGGAGTGATTTTAAGGAGGAGGTGGAGAGGGGTGACAGAGTAAAAAATGCTTTGCTGGCAGATCAGCAGCATGACAAGGGGGGTGAGTTGATGGGTGGTATGGGCGTGGCCAACACTTGCCTTGTTTGCAAGGAAAACGATACCAAAAACATTGCCGGAAAGTGGGTAGAAGAGAGGGAGGGGAGTGCCAAGACAGAGGCTGGGGATCGTGAAGACTCAGGCCAGTCAAATGGTGTGGTTGTGGTGGAAGGTGACTGTACCGAAGGCTTGTATGGGTGGGAAGGGCAGGCTTGTAGAGAGGGTGATTACAAAACGAGTGCGTATAATCCGGAAAGGATTATTTCTCTAGATTCTGAAGGAGACAGGGCAGCGGAGCAGGGAGGCAGGGGCCAGTTTGGTAGTGTGGGAAGAGAGGGGAGCATTGGAAGTGCAGTTGAGTCATGTGTGTTTGAACCACTGATGTCTCCAGTACAATCGGAATCACCTGGTCATGCAGAAACGCATGAGTCGACCCAAGCAGTTCAGGGGATGCATACATGTGCTGTTTTCCCTGATCGTACCAGCACAGCTGCTGCGGGGGCAGTGGGTGCGGTATCAGCAGTGGGTGCGGTATCAGCAGTGGGTGCGGTATCAGCAGAGGAGTTAGAGCTCGGTCGGAGGGAGGAAGGGAGTGCACTGGTGGATGAAGGGCAGTGGAGGGTGGGGGGGCACGCAGTGCAGTGTGCATTGAACAGCTCGTCTGAATTGATACAGGTCCCACTCTTGGTTCCTGTTGACTCCGCCGGTGTTGTTGCTGATTCGGCGGCTGCTTTTGATGCTGCTGCTCCTGCTTCTGCTGGTGATGATGATAATGCTGTGTCTTACTCCTCTCCCTCCGTGACCACTGCGGCCCTTGCTGCTGCCACTGCCAAAGCCCCTGCCACTGCTGCTGCTGATACTAATACTGCTGCTGCTGCTCAATCCACTGTTGCTGCCCATGCTGCAATCTCCGTTACAGATTCTCGTGCAGAACTTTCAGCCCTTGTGCCCACGCCTGCAGCGCCAGCAGACCTCCAGCAGACAATACTGAGTCTGCCTATAGTGAGTCAGGATTTTCTCGAGGCAGCCCAGGTTCAAGAGCCTGCAGCCACGGATCCTGAGCTACTGCAGGTGCATGGAAGATTCGTTTCCTTCCCAACACCCTCGGAGGGCGGAGACTCTAGCAACAGCAACACCAAGGACAGCAACAGCGACAATAACAATAGCAATAAGAACAACAGCAGCAGCAGCAACGATGGGATGCCTGCACTTAATTCAGTAACAGCAGCTCAAGCAGCACAAGGCGGCGAGAGAAAAGTGGAATCATCATCTTCATCAGCCGCAGCAGCAGAATCGTCATCAGCAGCAGCCGCGGTAGCAGCAGCAGCAGGCGAGGAGTCATGCGGTGTCGCAGTGGAGTCGGCAGGAGTGCTGGTCGCAGCACCATCACCGGGGGGTGCAGTAATCAGTGCAGTACCAGCACCACTGGTAGGGCTTGCACTCTCATCAGGAGAGTCTCTGGGGGCTCTCAGTTTGGAGGATGCTGCTGCAGGGATGGAGGAAATGGAGGAGCTTGGGGGAATGGGGGGTGCTACAGTTGGCTCTTCTGCTGCAGCTGCTGCCTCCGCTACAGCTGCATCTGTCCCTTCAGAGGTGGACTGTAGAGGTCGTTTTTCTCTAGAATTGGCCTCTCATGTACTGGCCGTGCCTGTGTGCGCAACAGAATCCTCAGAAGCATACACATCCGAACCACACGCATCAACAGCCCTCTCTTTGAAAGCACACGCTTTAGAAGCACATGTTTCAGGGGGGGTAGCGCTAGCACCACCACCACGACCACCTGCTTGTGCTGTGCATGCCGATGGCATCCATTCCGCAGGGGACATCCCAGTAGAGAGGCAGCTGGAAGAGAGTCTGTTGACTCCGTTGACCCCGTTGGCTCTGCTGGGGAAGCAGGAGCGGCGGCGAAGGGCGTTCACAGAGGCGCTTCTGAAGAGTCTCTCTCTCGGGGTGGGGAGTGCGAGGAAGCTGTGGAAGGGAGGGGCTGCTGTTGCTACTGGCGCTGGTGCTGCTGCTGGCACTGACGTTGCTGCTGGCACTGGCGCTGCTGCTGGCACGGGCGCTGCTGCTGTTGCTGCTGGCGCTGGCAGTCTGACGGTGCCTGGTGATGCTACTTCTGCTGCTGCTCCTGCTGCTGCAGCTGTTGCTGCTTCTAGCGCTGTTGGTTCAGTCGATACTGCTGCTGCTGCTGCAGCTTCTCCTGCTGCTGCGGCCGCTGCTGCTGCTGTTGCTGCTGCGGATGCTGGTGCCACGTCTCCTGCTACTGGCAGATACGGCTTGAGCCCTTTTTCCTATCACTTTCTGGCGCCGGCACGCTTGGGAGAGAGCAAGAGGCGCAATAGCATCCATGGCACCTGCGACAGCGGCAATGATCGCAGTGGCGGCAGCAGCAGCGGTTTCAGGAGGAGCAGCAGCAGCAGCAGCAGCAGCAAGCAGGTAGAGGAGGAGCATCAGGTGCTGCAAGGGCGCCTGCTGCAGTGGAGTGAGCGGCTTCAGACGGGCGAGAGGAGGCAAACGAGAGAGAGGAGTCAGACGGGAGAGACGAGTCAGTCGGGCGAGAAAGGTCAAACAGGGGAGAGAAAGCGGACAGGAGAGAGGGTTTCAAGTGCAGCTGTGGTGGCAGATTTAGATCCAAAGAAGAGTGTGGCGGTGCTGAAAGAGAGTGAAACTATCAGGGTGGATACTCATACTGGCGCTGGTGCCGGTGCTGGTGCTTCTGGCGTTGATTGTGAGGTGGAGAGTGCGGAACGGAATGGTTATCTGGGCATGCAGGGAAGGGAAGCATGTGATACGTGGCAGGTGTGTGCAAGTGATGTGGGATTGCAGAGCGGGGAGAGGGTGAATGGAATAGAGACGGAAGAGAAGAGGGAGGAGATGGAGGAGCGGGAGATGTGGAAGGAAGTGACGAGGGAGACGAGAACGGGGGATGAGGGAAAGGGGGGGCGGTTGAAAGGGGAGGGAACGGGGGAGGAGGAGAAGAAGGAGAAGCAGGAGGAGGAAGGGAGGGAACCGGAGGAGAGGGAGGAGTTGAAGCGCCGCGATGCGGCATTGCTTCAGGAAATGGAGAGGGAGATTGAAAGTGTGCGAGCTAAGTACAGAGAGAGGAGGGAGCAGCTGCATGCAGCGTGGAGGGAGAAGAGGGCAGTGAGGATACGAGGAGAGCAGCAGCACCACCACCAGGCCTCTTTGATTTAAAACGGATGCTCAGACACTGCGTAGTGAAACCAAACCTGTCAATAAGGCAATATATAGTGTATCTGAGGCACTGCAGGTGCCTCCGAGCCTGTGGATGAGGCTCGGAAACAGGACATGCATCGAGGTAGTCCTTTTCTTACAATAGGGAGTAGGGAGGAAAGGGGGAAGATGGAATGGAAAGTGGTTTCAGGAACTGGGGCTGAAACGGCAGTGGCATGGTTTCGACGTGAGGAGAGCGGGTAGGAGATAAGGGAAGGGGCATCCGGACTGGAGGGATGGAAAAGAAACAGCAGGGAGGGTTCAGTAGCAGAAAGGGCAGCTTAGAGGGATGGGCAACAGGGTGATCGTTCTTTGGAATCTCGAGGACTAGTTGAAGCAGGCGGGTGAGGGAAGTGTGGATGGAAGCAGGAGGGGCAGGAAGGAACAGCAGTGGTATAAGGGCGTATTCCTACAGCCTCCTATCAAGGCCACCTCCTGTCAAGATTGTACTTTTGCCTGGGAAAAGTAGCGAGAGGTTTTGGGTTTAGGGGATTTTTCAGTGTGAGCTTGATAGGAGGTCAGATTGATAGGAGGATAGGAATACGCCCTAACTACTTGGGTCTGAGCTGTGGGCAGTGGTGGTAGAAGAGGGGGCTCAAGGATTGCAAGGGGTGGGGGGAAGCGGACATGCGAGAATACTAGCTGGATGTGTGAGTTGGTTGAATTCATGTTATTGCTGCAGACTGGGGTTTCAAGCAGTAGATGTTTGCCTAATACCGATCTTTGCCTTTGCCTTAGCGATGAGTTTCCTGAAGTCATTAGGGCGTGTGCACTAGGCGTTCGAACTTATGTCTAAGTTCGAACTTTTAGCGAGGTTCTACTCGGTACGATACTAAAAAGAGACGTTTCGCCATGGTGCAAAGCGGTTAAAGCCAACAGCTAAAATAGTGACCCCCCCCTTCTAGTTGGGTCCACTTGAAAACAGAAGTTTTTTTGGGACGTCTCGGAAAGTTGGAAGTGCTGTACATTTTTATTTTTTCACTCCAGACAAGTCTCGATATGAACGGGGAACATTTGGAACCTGTTTACATTTCTGATTGGCGGCGAAACTCACACACAACTCACACACATACCGTACATGTGCGAATTTGGCGCAAGGTTGCAAGGCCTGTACTCACTCGAGCAGTCATCGTAACTTCACCAAAACTCACAACAATCAACAGCACAGGCACAACTCAGCGCACACACATATGCACGATCTGGGAGTGAATGTTGGCCGACGAATGGAAGAGCTGCGAGAAAAAGGGTTCCTTGGGCTTGAGGTTGAGAGAGGTAAAAAAATAGGGAGAGAGAGAGGGGAACAACGGGATGGGAGGGGAGACCGTGAAGAACTACGGAAGGGAGGGAGAGAGGAGGCGAACGACGGGATGGGAGGGGAAAGGAAGCGAACGACGGGATGGGAGGGGAAGGAAGCGAACGACGGGATGGGAGAGGAGAGGAGGCGAACGACGGGATGGGAGGGGAGAGGAGGCGAACGACGGGATGGGAGGGGAAAGGAAGCAAACGACGGGATGGAAGGGGAAAGGAAGCGAACGACGGGATGGGAGGGGAAAGGAAGCGAACGACGGGATGGGAGGGGAAAGGAGGCGAACGACGGGATGGGAGGGGAGAGGAGGCGAACGACGGGATGGGAGGGGAATAGGAGCGAACGACGGGATGGGAGGGGAAAGGAAGCGAACGACGGGATGGGAGGGGAAAGGAAGCGAACGACGGGATGGGAGGGGAAAAGAAGCGAACGACGGGATGGGAGGGGGGGACGTGAGCGATAGGAGATGAAGTGGACGGGATGGGAGGGGAGATTGCGCGAAGGCGATGGGAGAGAGAGCGCGAAGGCGATGGGAGAGAGAGCGCGAAGGCGACGGGAGAGAGAGCGCAAAGGCGACGGGAGAGAGAGCGCGGAGGCGACGGGAGAGAGAGCGCGTTAGGCGACGGGAGAGAGAGCGCGAAGGCGACAGGAGAGTGATAGGCGATGCGCGAGAGAGGAAGGCGACCGGGAAACGCAACGCGATGATTGCGCGAGGCTTGGAAACACAATGCGCTAATACAAGATGTATTACGCAGAAGCGCGAAGTTCATGACTACGCGCCTAGTCGGAAATTGTCGAGGTCCTAAGCTACTCAATGTTAGGCAGAAAGCTGGAATGATTAGTTCTCACTCTGCTATGTGAAAAAACTAGTGACTAGAGGAAGTGGGTGATGAACCCAGGACCAGCTTGAAATTGGAGTTGGGCCTGGCGACGGAAAAGCATCGCCAGGGAACGGTCGTGCGGATGCAGCACGCACGTATGCGACAGCTGATATGAACCTCGAAAATCGTTTTGGCGGGAGCCATTTTTTTTCAGATTGGTGTGAGCCAATCAGATTACTTCAACCTGCCTAACCGTTTTGTTTGGAACAGTGTTGTATCAGCCGAACTCATCGCAGCGATTTCAAGGTGGGACGGCATTCACTATTTTATATTTCGGTTTTAATGTTCGAACTCTTTGCCCTAAGTGCACACGCCCTTAGTGAACCAGATATATGTATTGTAAGATGAGTTTTTTAGAATGTAGAGAATTAATTAAAGCCAGCAGCTAAAATAGTGACCCCCCCCTTCTAGTTGGGTCCACTTGAAAACACAAGTTCGTTACGAACGTTTGAAAAGTTGATGGCCTGTGCGTTTTTACTTTTTTTTCATCCCAGACGAGTCTTGATCTGAACGGGAAACATGAGGAACTTGTTTACAAATCTTATTGGTGGCGACTTTCACCCACACGAATTTGGCGCAAGGCTGCAATCCCACATTCAACATAGCAGCCGTCGTAACTTCACAAGAATTCCCATATGCAAAAAACAGCGCACACACAGGCAAAATCCAGCGCGCACAGGCAAAAACTCGCAAAATCTTGCGCGAACACTGGCATGATCAAGCAAAATCTATTGTGAGAAAAGTAAGCATAGTGAGGAGCCATAGCTAGGGTTTAGCTAGCTAGGCAAGAGAGAAATGAACAAAGGAGGGGTTTCACTAGCAGCAGTTGGGATACATATAGCAAACCCTAACAGGGTTGTACTCGCTATAGAGCACCCCACTATAGGCTAGATATTAACATTCTGACACACCCCCATAGCCAAAGTGGGGTGTAATCAGCAGAGCACGCAGTCATAGAGCAGGTTCACAAATGCAAGCAAAGCTAGAGGCTATCACAGAGGGCAAGTGAGGAGGAGGGGGAACTGTGGAAGGAGAGAAGATGGGAGGCAACGACTGAAGCTGCAGAGGCACGGGCACAGGAGCGGCTGACTCAGTGGCTACCGAAGCAAGGGCGACGGACTACTGGAGTGACTGGCTCCGCGGCTAAGACGAGCGGCAGGAGCAACGGACCCACTGGCGACTGGTGCAACAGGCTCACTGACTACCGAAGCAAGGGCGACGGACTACAGGCGCTGCAGGCGACACGACAGCTACCTCCACACAACCTCCTCCAACTGACCCACACCCTTGACACACACCCCCTGCTGAACCCCTAACTCCACTCCCACGTCACCCCCCTAGCACCACTCCTTCGGCTCCCACACACCCACCCCCCTGAGCGGCAGCTGCAGCAGCGGGAGACGGAGGAGGAGGAGAAGTAGTGGAACGGCGCACAGAAACTGCACCCCCATACCCCCCACCCCCAAACCCTAATTCAGGAGAACGGGCAGCAGCAGGGGTGGGACGCCGTCAGAAGCACGGGGGACAGCGGGCAGCTCAGGGGCAGAGAGGAACGGGCCGCCCACGGGCCTGGCACAGCCAGACGAACCGCGCGCAGGCGGGACTAGCGCAGCCCGTACGGGCCGCGCGCGGGCCTGGCGCAGCCCGTACGGGCCGCGCGCGGGCCGGGCGCAGCCCGTACGGGCCGCGCTCGGGGCTAGCGCAGCCCGCGCTGGCCAGGACGGGGGACGGGGGACGACGGGCTGGTCCCCGTCGCCCGTCGAAGCGCCCCCCGGGGGCGACGCGCGAACCGACGGGGCAGTAGGCCGCCGCGCGCCTCGGGGCGCACGGCGGGCAGAGAACCGCCGCACGCCCCGGGGCGCACGGCGGGCAGAAAACCGCCGCGCGCCTCGGGGCGCACGGCGGGCAGAAAACCGCCGCACGCTCCGAGCGCGCGGCGGGAAGAAAAATCCGTCGCACGCCACGGAGCGTGCAACACACAGAGTAGCAGCGGAAGCAGTTAGGTGGGCCCACAGGCCAGGAGCGTAGATGCTCTGATAGCATGTGAGAATAGTAAGCATAGTGAGGAGCCATAGCTAGGGTTTAGCTAGCTAGGCAAGAGAGAAATGAACAAAGGAGGGGTTTCACTAGCAGCAGTTGGGATACATATAGCAAACCCTAACAGGGTTGTACTCGCTATAAAGCACCCCACTACAGGCTAGATAATAACATTCTGACATCCATGGCACACACAGGTGAAATCAGGCGAAGAAGATATAAATAAAGAAATTAATGATGCACGAAAAAAGAAAGGGCGATGGGACGGTTGATTGGTCGACGGCGAAGAGAAGGGACTGGGGACAAGGGGGCTGACGGGAGAGGAGGGGAGAGAGGGGGAACGACGGGATGGGAGGGGAGAAGGGAAAAACGACGGGATAGGAAGGAAGAGAGGAGGAACGACGGGATGGGAGGGGAGAGAGGAAGAAAGACGGGATGGGAGGGTAGAGCGGAGGAACGACGGGATGGGAGGGTAGAGAGGAACGACGGGATGCGGGGAGGGAAGACAGATTGTGAGGGGAGGGAGGAAGGGCGCGGAGAGGGCATTGCATAGCAAGAGCGAAGGGCGGATTGGCCGACGATGGAGAGCGTTTCAGAGATTAATGATTGGGGAGAAGAGACGAAAGGCGATGGGAAGGCATTTCGGGACGAGCACGAGGGCGACGAGGTCGGTGATGGGAAGGGAGAGAGGAAGGGCGCGGGGAGAGCGTTTGAGTGCGAGCGCGAAGGCGACCAGGCAGGCGATGGGAGGAGAACGTGGGCGGGGGACGAGAAGGCGTTTCGTGGCGAGCGGGAAGGCGATGGGGTGGGTGATGGTGGGTGGGAGAGGAATTTGCGACGGCGGCATCTAAGGCTACGAGAAGGGAGGGGAGAGAGCAAGAGCGACGGCAAGGGAGGGGAGAGAGATAGAGCGACGGTAAGGGAGGGGAGAGAGATAGAGCGACGGGATGGGAGGGGAGAGAGATAGAGCGACGGAAAGGGAGGGGAGAGAGATAGAGCGACGGGAAGGGAGGGGAGAGAGATAGAGCGACGGGAAGGGAGGGGAGAGAGATAGAGCGATGGGATGGGAGGGGAGAGAGATAGAGCGACGGGATGGGAGGGGAGAGAGATAGAGCGACGAAAAGGGATGGGAGAAGGCGATTGCAACGGAAAGGGAGCGGCGAGAGAGAGAGCGACGGGAAGGGAGAGGAGAAGGCAATTTGTCGAGGAAAGGGAGCGGCGAGAGAGAGAGAGAGAGCGACGCGCAGGGAGCAGCGAGAGAGAGAGCGCGACGGGAAGGGAGCAGCGAGAGAGGGAGCGACGGGAAGGGAGGGGAGAGAGCAAGAGCGACGGGATGGGAGGGGAGAGAGATAGAGCGACGGGATGGGAGGGGAGAGAGATAGAGCGACGGAAAGGGATGGGAGAAGGCGATTGCAACGGAAAGGGAGCGGCGAGAGAGAGAGAGCGACGGGAAGGGAGAGGAGAAGGCGATTTGTTCAGGAAAGGGAGCGGCGAGAGAGAGAGCGACGCGCAGGGAGCAGCGAGAGAGAGAGAGCGCGACAGGAAGGGAGCGGCGAGAGAGAGAGCGACGGGAAGGGAGGGGAGAGAGCAAGAACAACGGGATGGGAGGGGAGAGAGATAGAGCGACGGGAAGGGAGGGGAGAGAGATAGAGCGACGGGAAGGGAGGGGAGAGAGATAGAGCGACGGGAAGGGATGGGAGAAGGCGATTGCAACGGAAAGGGAGCGGCGAGAGAGAGAGCGACGAGAAGGGAGAGGAGAAGGCGATTGTTTCAGGAAAGGGAGCGGCGAGAGAGAGATTTGCGACGGGAAAATCGCGAGGGTGATTGGAGGAGAGGGGTAATGGAGATTGTTACGAATAGTAATACTTGAATATTACTGTGCACTCCTCACCGTAGCAAAGCCGATGCACGCACTATCGAGAGTGAAGACGAAAAGCCAGAAGAAAGGCGAAGGGACAGACGGTTACGAGGAGCATCTGGATCGTCGGGCAGACAGCATCAGGCAGCAGCAGTGGCGAGGATTCTGCCCGAACAGTTACGTAACCACTCGGAGTCGCACGGTTGGATTTTGCTGCAATAAGGGAATGTACCCCTTAGAGTACATGGCTAGTTAGGTCGTTTCGAATTCCCCTGTACTCATATTTATATTCCTTGTACTGCACGTGTTTATTATCTCAAAGCATTTTACATTCACTCTGCTATTGAGGTCAAGGGCCCACCAACATCACTTCTCTGCGTGCGAACCTTCCTGAGTAGATCCTAGGCCACGATCAACTTTTGATCGCAGCATGGTATGAGAGCGACTCAGGAATCCTTCGCACCGCCATCTCCGAAATCTGCGACATTCGGAAAGTGGCGTCCGGCACACGATCACGTGTAAGAATGGCCGGAGGATCTGGAGGTCAGACGAATCTGACGGCTGAATCGCAGCCCAACCCGGCTGCGACAAACGAGGAAACGACGACGATTCCTTCCGCCGTCCTCGCACAACTACTTCAGCGACTCACGAGCCTGGAGCAAGGGCTCCAGACATTGCGGAATGGCGATGCGGGAACCTCTTCCCAACCCACTCAACCGGCCTCAAACGGCCAAAACTCCGCCCCGCAAGGCTTCTCCCTAGATACGAATGGCTCAACCCCCAAGACTCCCTGTCCCAGCGATGAAGCAATTCTCTCCGCGCAATCAAGGTTTTTGAGCATATCAAAAATAAAGACAAGTGTGTGCTTTGACGGCAGAGACTTTTACACCTGGAGCTTCGAGCTGGAGCTGCTGCTGCAAAACGCGCAGATTTATCATTATTTCGACGGGAGCTACTCGGGACCTGCTGAGGACACCGACGACGCAAGGACTTGCTATTATAACGAGTCCCTGATGGCGTACGAGATTCTTCTGCGTAACATGTCGCCGGCGGAGCAGCTGAACATTCGTTCATGCAAGACATCGGCTGCCCCAGCCCTCGACGCTTGGCGCCACCTGAACGGCGTGTATCAGCCGAAGGACTCCGTCTCCTCGAGCCGACTACTCCAGCAACTGCTGGAAACTAAGATTACCTCAGGGGAGAAGGTCAACGGCTACATCAACCGCTGTCGGAGCCTTCGCGATCAAATCGTGAAGTTGGGAAGCTCGATTTCCGAGGAAATCTTCGTGAACATTGTGCTTCAAGGGCTTGGCCCAGAGTGGCGGCCCTGCAAGGCGCTCCTCCGACAGCAGGGGGTCATCTCAGAGGCCGCCCTTTGCGCCGCCCTTCTCGTCGAACAACGGGATATGGATCAGCAGCGACCAGCGCCACGACGAGAACGTGAACGGCTCGCCTTCTACGCCGACAACAACGAAGAGCGACGACCGTGGCGCCTCTACTACAAAATCTGCAGAAACTTCGGGCATTTGGCGGATCGATGTAAGTTCCGATCTCGCCCTCGTCAGACCAATCCGAGCAACTGGTCCGGCCGACAAGACGCACGAGGTGACGTGCGTCCAGCCCAGGGGTATCAACCCCCACCCGCGCGCAATCTGAACTCAACCGTTCAGCATCAGCAGCAGCAGCCATCAACTGCCCCTACGCGCAACGTCATGAGCAACATGGCCATGACAGGTGAGTCACGTCGTCGCCGTGTTCGCTCACCCTCACCTGAGCCAGCACCGCACCCCATCGGCGCGTTCACCAACAACAACCCGTTCAGCCCGCGCCGCGACTTCAACGACGACGACGACCAGGACTGGAACCTCCCAGTCCCGCTGCTTGAAAGTCCCCCGCACATACTAGACATGCGGGTAGCGCCACTTGATTGGCTCTCGCGCGAGCAATTTCTGGAGTTCGACACCCCGCACATCGTCACACCGCGATTGGCGCTGCTCGAACGTGACGACAACAAGCGCTACAACACCTGGTACCTGGACAGCTGATGCGGCCAGCATATGGTGGGCTCCGAGCGTTACATATCTGTGAAGAAATGAGGAATGATGGAAGGGGAGTTCACTAGCAAGCAGTTGAGTACATATAGCAAACCCTAAATTGGGCTGTACTCACTATTGAGTACCCCACTGCAGGCTAGACAAACATAACATTCTGACACACCCCCATAGCCAAAGTGGGGTGTAATCAGCACAACAAGCAAGCAAAACACAAGCTCAGGGTGGATCACAATGTCACCACACAATCTGAGCACAAGTACAAGAAGCAACAGTTTAAAGTTCACAAATGTAAGCAAAGCTAGAGGCTATCACCGAGGGCAAGTGGGGAGGAGGAGGGACTATGAGAGGAGAAGAGGTAGTGGGCGGCAGCTGAAGCTGCTGGCACACGGCGCAACTAGAGCAACTGGCACACGGGCAACTGGAGCAATTGGCACACTGGCAACTGGAGCAACTGGCACACGGGCTACTGGAGTAACTGGCTCCGCGGCTAACTCTGAGCGGCAGGAGCAACGGACTCACGGGCGACTGGAGCAACTGGCTCACGGGCGACTGGCGCAACGGGCTCACGGGCGACTGGCGCAACGGTCTCACGGGCGACTGGAGCTGCGGGCTTCACGGCGGCCACCCCCCTTCAACCTCCCCAAACTATCCCACCCCCCTTTCACACACCCCCTGCTGCACCCTAGGTTCACTCACACCCCACCCCCTAGCACCACTCCGTCGACTCCCACACACCCACCCCCCTCAGCGGCAGCTGCAGCAGTGGGAGACAGAGGAGGAGGAGGAGCAGGGGAGACCACACACCCGCCACCCCCTACTCGCCACCCCCAAACCCTAACACAGGGCAGGGCGGGATGGCGGGTAGGGAGGTTGGGGGGGGGGGGGGGGGGCGACGCGCGGCCTCCCAGGGCGCCAAAACAGGTGGCAGAAGGGGCGACGCTCGCCCCCCCCCCCCCAGGTCGCCCCTCCCATCGCCTGTCGAGGGGACCTGAGGGGGCCGCGCGGGGGCGGTGCACGGGTCCCCGGTGCGCCGCGACAGGCGACGGAGCATGGCCGGGGCGGGGCCGGGGCAGGGCCGCGACAGGGCCGCGGCGGGCGACGGGGCAGGGCCGTGACGGGGGGCCGCGACGGGGGGCCGCGACGGAGGGCCGCGACTGAGGCCGATAGGGGCGGTGACGGGGCCGCTAGGGGCGGCGACGGGGCCGCAAAGGGGCCGCGAGGGGCCTCGAAGGACGGCGACGGGGCCGCTAGGGGCGGCGACGGGGCCGCGAAGGGGCCGCGAGGGGCCTAGAGGGGGGGGCGACGGGGCCGCGAAGGGGCCGCGAGGGGCCTAGAGGGGCGGCGACGGGGCCGCAAAGGACGGCGACGGGGCCGTAAGGGGTGGCGACGGGGCCGCTAAGGGTGGCGCGAGGGGCCGTGAGAGGCGACGTGAGGGCGGCCAACGGGGCGCGCCTCGGGCAGGGGCGACTCGCGCTCCGGTCAGGAAAAAAAAAAAAAAGTCGATTTTCAGTGGTGGGCCCTGAGAAGCGTTCCCTTTAGGGAACCTGCTCTATACCATGTGAAGAAATGAGGAATGATGGAAGGGGAGTTCACTAGCAAGCAGTTGAGTACATATAGCAAACCCTAAATTGGGATGTACTCACTATTGAGTACCCCACTGCAGGCTAGACAAACATAACATTCTGACAATATCCAACGCCGTCCCCACCCCTACAGTCACTTACGTCACTTACGACAACAACACGCGCCTGCGCGCAAGCGCACAAGGCATTGTCGTGCTCAAAGCACGTGGAAGCCGCACGCACATCACGCTTAACGATGTGCTGATCGTCCAGAACCTGCGCTTCAACCTCCTGTCCGCCGCACAGCTCATGGACTGCGGCGTCGACCTCAGCACGGATCGCGAGACGCGAGACATCCTGCTGCACTACGAAT